GATGAACCCCACGAAGGTGAAGATACTGTGAGAGGAGGTGGACTTCCTTCTCGTAAATGGTTAGGCGGAGCCGAGCAACAGTGAATGGTCGTCGCTGTGCTTGTTGGTGCTGAAGCCTGACGGTAGTCAAAGGCTTTGCACTGATTACCGCAAGGTCAACTCCAGATGGCCTTTACCAGTACTGTGTCGTGCCGTTTGGAAAGCGTAACACCCCTGGTCCCCTGCAACCTTCCAGCGTCTCGTCAACTCTATCATCAAAGGTTTGGAAGGGGTACAAGCATATTTTGATGACTTGGTGGTGGTAACATCCAGTTGGGAAGAACACATTTCAAAAAAAGGGCCCTCTTCAATAAGCTAGAAGATACGGAGTTGACTGTCAATCTTGCCAAGACTGAGTTTGGACACGCCACTGTGGTCTTCTCTGGTCATGTCGTTGGCCAAGGGAAACTTGCAAGTGTCGATGCGAAGATAGAAGCCATTCTGCAGTTCCCACAGCCTGCAGACCGCAAATCTCTCCTGCGCTTCCTAGGAATAGCTGGATATTACCGCAGATTTTGGCCAGACTTCGGACAGGTAACAGCGCCCCTCACAGACCTAGCCAGCCCTAAGAAGCAGTTCAAGTGGACCCCAGAGTGCCAAAAGTCCCTCGAGAGAGTCCAATCACTGCTATCCAGTGCTCCTGTGTCACAGACTCCAGCTTTTGAAAGCAGTTTTGACTGCACATTGACGCAAGTGATAATGGAACCGGTGCTGTATTAATACAAACTGGATCTGCTGATGATGTACTCCACCCTGTGTGTTCTTTATCTTCCAAACTCAAGAAACACCAGAAAAACTATTCAACAATTGAAAAAAAATTACTTGCACTGATGATGCTTTGTTAAAGTTTAATGTATATTTGTGTCATGCTGTTCGCTCACTAAAATTTTTAGACAAGATGAAAAATCGAAATAGGAGACAAATACGATGGTCACTCATGTTGCTGACTGTATGTCCAGAGTGTAATTTGTGGTTAGTATATGTATATACTCATCTTAGTCAAATTAACCCAGTAATTTTATCTAAAATGAAAGGTGTGATGGGAACTAGGTAGTCAGCTCGTTCAAGGAAAGAGTTTTTCATTATGTTTATTCTTTTTCCTTTTACATGTGTTATGTTTTGTTTGTATTATGTTTGTTTGTGATATGTATTGTTGTCGGTTATATAATATATTGTTGTATTGTAAATTATATATTATTTGTGTCAATGTTTACACCCTTGAAGTGAGTAATAAACAACCTTGCAACTCTGAGAGGTTAGTTGGTAAGTCACTAAACTCCCCTGGCCTCTTGACGTGCTATTGTTCTGAATGGCTCTGTCCTGCGCTTTGTACGAGTATCCGGTGTCTGAGGGTTTTGTGTTTGTGCTACTGAGTGGTCACCTCACAGCTAAGTTTACTGTTTGTATATGTATTAGGATTGTAATTATAATGTATATTGTGATAAGTAACACTTATTCCATGAGCTAATTGTAAGATTAGAAGTTCTTGTATTTTTGTCCCTGGTGTTGTTTCTCAGTTGTAGTTGATGTACTTTCATTTTCGCCTGTTACGACCCTCCTCCTTTCACCGCTTACCCAGCACCCACCACTGATTACCAGCGGCTACGGTCGTATGTACAGAAGCAGTAGATATCTCACAAGTGTTGTCGAATTACCACTGGCTGTCCCGCCACTCTCAGGTAATTCCCCGACGATCGGTATCAGTGTACAGACAATCAACAGGTAGGTAGATTCCCACCAGGTCACAGAAACACACTTGTGCACTGTAGTCTTCTTTAATAAACACTAATTCTTTACAACATTGTTAACAAGGCAATGTCTTCACAGCTTAACTCCACACTTCGAATATATAGTCAGCACATTACCAGTGTACAATTCCTTAGTCTTCTCACTTTATATAAATCACGACAATTCCACAGCACTTGCACAACAATTATCTTCAGTTGTTCTGCTGGGGTTATTCTTTACACTATGAACAGAGGCTCAGGAAGAGGAAGACGGTGAAGGAGGAAGGTAAAGGTTAGGAAGTGGGAAATAAAGAGGGAGACCCTGCTCGCTGCAGTTTATATACGCTTCGCCAGACGCATCTCGAACAGCCTAGAATCACCCAGACGCCCGAGAGAGATTCTAGAACGTTCTACTCTGATCGTGGCTTACAATAATTAGTAAATCATAAAAAAATGATGCAATACAGTCTAGAATATTTTTACATAATTAATACATCAATATATACTTGAAAATTCCACCAATTGCCAAAATAACTGCTGCATGGGAGACAATCAAAACACCTAGGTTTACAAAATTATAATACGAATTTATGCCTCGGCATAACACACCTTTCTGTGTATATAGTGTAAATATGTTTAATACTTAATATATTATTGCACTTTATAGTGTATTATGAATATTTCCATTCCCCATTTATCTTCCTTTGTGTTTTCATGTTGTGGAACATTATAATAACCCCTAGAAAGTATGTCCCATGACACGACATATTGTGTTGATTTGACTTAGAAGAGGTTTGTCTGCGTATACTTTTACTTTTATCCTCTTCACCACTGATCGGCTCGTTAGCCGCTTGGGCGATCGGTCACGTCTCTGTTACACACTGTTGGCAGGTTCTGGGCATGCACCGGCTCCTGAATGTACCTGAACCCGCTCCAGTGTTGGTCAAGTCTGGTCTTGAATAAGCTCACACTCGGTGCCGTCACAAAACTTTCTGGTGGATTGTTCCAAGAGTTCACAAATCTCACTCCGAAAAAGTTTGCCCTCATAGTTTTCTGGACTTGCGGCTTCTTCAATCTTGAGCTGTGACCCCTTGTGGGGCGAGCGTCCTCCAACTCCAAGTAAGGACACTCGACTGAGTAGTGCCCCTTGAGATGCATGTAGACCTCAATTAGTACTTTTAAACTGAACGTCTTATCATCTTTTAAACAATCATATACCAATTGTTTCCCTGCATAAGACATATGATATAAACAAAACATATCTTAGTGTGTCGTTTAATTACCGACCACGAATGTTTATTTATTTCTGACGACTCTCCCCTGGAAATTGGACTGAATTTGTAGAGGACTGAGATCAGAGCGTATTACCCTGGGTAAACCTGTGGGTGAGCTGCTGAACCCAGTCAACCTCAGTGTTTTATTATCATCATCATTATTATTATTATTATTATTATTATTATTATTATTATTATTATTATTATTATTATCATTATTATTATTTTTAGATATTAGTCCACTAGAGCACAGGTCAAGGACCCACATCCGGCCCTGGGGGCGAAAATATAATAATAAGAATAATAAATGGGGGGACCGGTGGTATAAGCGGTACCGTTCTTGCCTCGCAAGCGAGATGTCACGGGTTCGATTCCCGGGCCGATGGAAGTTGTTTGGACATACTTCCTAGCCCCCCATTAGTACCTGTTCACCTAGCAGTAAAGTAGGTACCTGTTGTAAGTCGAAAGTTGCGAATTCGTATTCAGGGAGTTGCTGGAGCTTCCAATAACTTGATGACATAAAACCACCGACTCTTCAGGCTTCTACGCCCTTGACTCTTCAGGCTTCTATGCCCTTAACTCATGAGACATAAGGCAAGCATGAACTTAGCATGCTTCCCTGTTGGGCGTTGTAAACGCTTCTGCACTTCACCTTACACAAGGATGTAGGGGAGTGCCCAATAAAAAATAAAAATAAAATAAATAAATAAATAAATAAATAAATAAATAAATAAATAAATAAATAAATAAATAAATAAATAAATAAATAATAATAATAATAATAATAATAATAATAATAATAATAATAATAATAATAATAATAATAATAATAATAATAATAATAATAATAATAATAATAATAATAATAATAATAATAATAATAATAATAATAATAATAATAAACCCCAAGGCAGTGTTTGATGCCAGTGGTGTGAGCTCGGGTGTTAAAATCTCCTGTTTGTGTCAGTGTTGACAGGTTGTGAGTACCTTTGCCATTTACCGTCTCAATTATATTATTAAAACAAGAGATTATTATCGATATTAACTGGGTTGTGAAGTGTGCTATAAGGTATACTATCAAGCAGTAATGAGAGTAGACTCCTAGTAGTACCAATGTGATCTGTAGCCACGGTGCTGAGTGTATTAGACCGACAAGAACAATAATTTTTTAAGAAAGGTTTTGAGTGTTTATTGGCGCCATACAGTTTTATGACTATTAATTGAAGATGCTTATTTTTCTAACTATAAAGTAAAATCCATTAGGCTTTATATTTTGTGCCAGTGTTAAGTAGCAATTATTAAACATTGACTGAAACACATTTTAAGTCCCTAATTTTGTGATTGATAGTTCAAGATATTTACAGTAATACCATTTGCTTCTAATAAATAGTACATAAATAAAACATGTGTATCACCCTTCATTCCTAATAATAATTATTTAATCTGAAAACACTGTTTAAAACTAACGCGTCTTGATCTCTGCCAGCTACCAAGTTACTTTAGAGATTCTAATGTTGATGTTATATTCTCACTAAAAATCTATTGAAAAGAACGTACATTAGTGCACAATAACATGAGTTTCCCAGATACTCTCACAGAGCAGAATATAAGTAAATAAGTTGAAAGTAACGTAGGCAGGATTGATAATAAAAATATGCCTCTTACCATTTCCTTTCCTTTAATTCCCAGTCTCAGCACTGTTCTGTACAGTGTTGAGACTAGGATTCACCTTCTTCATTCCTCACAGTTTTTGTCTACGTAACCTCCTGGCCTCTGTTGTCATTACATGCACACTCAGCATTTATAGTGCTGTTAAATCATACATCTTCGTCTTTCATACTAACGTTGTATAAGACAAGCCTGACTTAAATATTGGTCATACAGACAGACAATCAGAGGACACTTAGTCATGTGCACTTTCCGTAACACATCGCAAGTTGATAAAAAAAAAAATTCTTACCAAGAGGTCGTTGATGTAAGGCGATGAGACGCTCCCAAATACGCTGCACATGCTGGCCATACCCAGAATGATTGACCGGTACTGAGTAGGGGACAGCTCGGCTGTGTAGTACCAAATTAAACTGAAAGCTGCCGTGCTGGCGACCTTGCCACACAGGGAGAAGAACTCTGTCATCACAACTGGTGCTGCAACAAAATGGATGCTTTACTGTTTACTCTTAGTTTCTTACTTTGTTGGGGAAGTTAAATGTTCTCCAACCTATCAGGGGCGGACCCAGGGGACTCAGGGAGTCCGACCCCCCCCCCCTTTTCATCAGATAATTCCCAAACATTTCTTTAATGCAGTATTGTACTCATGCGATTTTGAAAAGTAAAAAGTAATTGCTATTGATCTCTGAATATCTTCTAATATCTAGTACAAATGGCCTCAAAATGCCCATAATATTAGTCAGATTTCAAACATTTTCCTGGGAGGGCTTACAGACTACTCCCCCACCCCCTTAAAAAAAACAGAGCTCGCTGCGCTCTCCATGTTTACCTCCCCACAACTTCTTGGACCCCTCTTTTGATATTCCTGGATCCGCCCCTAACTTTACCACTTCAAGAGACCTTTGACCCCTGAAGTACGATGTCTTAATCCCCTGGTAAGCGAAAAAATTAAGTCATTACACAGTCATGGTGTAATTTTAATTTTTTTTAGTTATTAATAAATTGGGAATGTCATACCTCTCAATTATTAATTAATTCCATACAATATGATGCTCTTAATAATATTTTCCTTATCATTTCTTTGGTCTTTTTTCATCTACATCAATATTTTATTCAGGAAGAGACCTCAATATTTTCTAATGTATAGTTTCTCCTAACTCAGCAGTGAGTAATGGATAAGGAGGAGAGAGAGATAACGCCGCCAGTGAGGAGGGCAAGATGGAGTGAGGATTGAGCCTCCTTCTCCTGCACTTTTTTTTTTTTTAGAGAAAGAAGGGATGAAAACGGGTTAGAGGATGAAGAGGTGAATAATTCATAAGGTGGAAAAGTGAAGTTTCAGAATAATTTCATTCAATTGGTCAAATATGTCAACAAAGTATGCTACCCGTTGTTCCCACAATGGTTGACAAAAAAAAAATGCTGGTTTGTCTTGAATGTCTACGAACATTTTCAACTGTTCTCGAAGTTCGAGAACTCGACTCATAACATTTCCTCTTGATAGCCATCGAGAAGTGTTAAAAATGGAGAACTCTGAAGCCATGTTTTTACAGCGCTCTTTGAAAAGATGTGAGTTGACAGTCATAGATTTGACATAATTCAAAATTTTGATGATCGTTCGAGATGATCTGGAGTTCCTTGAGAAGGGTTCTAAACGCAAGTGGTTGGCGGTAAATCATGCAATGTGGCATTGTAGCCCCTGGAGCAAACTCTTAAACCCTCAATGAAACTCTGATTCGAGCCCAGCATTGCATTGCACACATCACACACATTATCCCACGAGAGCCCTTCCTCTTTCAGTTAGCTACCTTCTCCTTTACATCATCACGTTTTGTAGTGATCTTAAGTGGGAGAAAACAAAAGTTCATTAAATTTTCCTGCATGAACATACCGAACAACTACAAGAAGTTATGAACAAGATGTAACATTCGTAGACTCGTTTAACTGTAGAGAAAACAGGTTGGAGTTAGTCCATGGGCCAGGAACCGAAAAGGTCCCCTTCCCCTCTTCTTTATACCTGCCATCATTTTTTTTAATTACTTGATGTAGAAGCCTCTAAATAAAAACTTATTTAACCAAGCGATTTATGGTTGCTAGTACCCGTAAATACTGTAGATATCCAAGATGGCAGCCAGCCGACGGGGACCAAAATTGAAAACAACACAACTTTCAACCAGTAAGCCTAAAAACACGGGTGTCCTATGTATTTAAACTAATTTTGGGTTGAGAAATCAATTTAAATTGTTATTTGGGGGTTTCAAGGACATCTTAAGGGTAAAGAACCCATAATAAATGCCAAAATTGATGAATTGGAATAACAACTTTTAATAACACAACTTTCCATCATCATCATAATTCGTTCCTTGCTCGTCTTCGTAGCTGAGAATTGGTGGTTCGAACTCTTCAGCTTGTAAGTCATCATCCTAAAAATTGGAGGAATTAGTGACGAAAATTGACACCATGGGAACTTAACTCCAGTCCCTCTGCTCCCTGAACCCAGCCACGTAGAGTCGGTTCAAATAGGTGATGGTGGGGTTCCAGCGAACTCCTCCAGGTAGCAGCTTAGTAGTTGCAGCGCCTGATGTGGAGGAGAAGACTGGGATGGCAGGGAAGCACCTTTTTTCAGTGCTTAGAGCACCTTTCTTTTGTGTGAATCGGTGAATGGATTTTTGGTATTGGTAGTTGTTGTTGGTTGATCGTTTGAATCCATACAAGGAGCACAAACAAATCCTCCTGGACATGAATCACATCATCTGGCACCTCTTCCAACTCTCCGAGTAGCTTGGCAACCGATGCCAGGGCTAAGGTCGCCGGCAGCCTCTCATGCGTTGGCTCTTTGGCAAGGTTTTCCAGCAGCTTGACAGTCTCCATTGGAATTTTTTCCTCAAAGGATTTCATATTGCTCAAGCAGAAGTCACTCCAATGCCTCAAGCAAGGTATTGAACACATAGCGGCAACGGTTACAGTGCTTGTCACTCAGCACCTTGTTGATGGAGCCACTGGATGACGAACTGCTCAGCACCATTTCCTTCCATGAACTTCCAGGTAGCACCCTAATACGCACTGCATGTGTGAAAGAGACCATGCCTGATGAACATTTTAGGGAATTTCTCGGGGTATTGCCACGTAATAATGTTGACATTCTTAGCTGCTGCCAGGTCAAAACAGGCGATGGTCCAAAACTGGGCCACTGCGGCAGTCATAGCTTGCGCTCGAACCAGACACGCCAGCACCGTGCTGATTTCTGTGATAGGGCCTGGTATGGGAGGAATATATTTGAGTGTGGCGAGATGTTCAGTTACTCGTTTCCAGATGCTAGACGTCCAGCCTTTCCACCTTGGAATAATCTGGGGTATTGGTTGGCCGGCCAGAGCTCACATAAGGTCTCGATTGTGAGCTTTGACCATCACCGACATGCCTTTGCTGTACTCTAGAGAGATATCAAACTTGGAAGGGGGCCTGCTTTTTCCTCACATAACATGGGTTCATCGGGGAAGTTCACTCTCCACGTACTTCACAGATCTCACTTTGGTAGAAGTAGATGCTGCTGGCTTTTCAGCAGGCCATTGTTAAACATCATCATGGCCATTGTTGGCGGTGGCAGTAATGAGTTTCTCTTGACAGATAAGACAATGAGTAACGTGAGTTGTTCCTTTCCCAGACGGTGTCTCTTCCTGAGGGTCGAAGTTGTTGAACTATAAATGAACGAAAGAAGACATGGCTATGTCGATGTTTGGAGGTAAAGGACCATGAGTTTTTACTATTCGTTAATCAGTATCAATGTTCCTACATTGATGATGCTCGTGTCATTC